CACTGGGTGGCTTCAGCGACGGAAGGTACTTTCTCACGGTCCTGGGGGCCATGGGGTCAACAAATGAACCTGGGGGGGCACAGTCCATCCTGCGGCAGTGGTGTGGTGGGCCTAATTGTATAAGGAAGTGGGTTTGGGCCCTGGAGGAACCTGAGTTCCAATGACCCATGCTCCAGCACTCACCTGCACTGTGGCTTTAGGCAACATGCCTTCTGTCCCGGTGCCTCGGTTTCCTGACGTGGAAGACGGGGGTGACGGTGATGCCCAGTGCAGCGTGCGCCATGGTGACTGTAACCTGGGGGGTGCCCAGCGCGGTGCCCGCCCGCCTCTCCCTTCCCTGGTCTCGGGGACCTGGGATGTTCGAGGCCTGGCCCGTCCCTGAATGAACGGTTCCTCCGTGGCCCTTGTCTGCGTTTTGAGCCATACAGGCTGGGGGACAGGGGAGCAGTCTGCCACCATCTCAGCCCGTGCTGGACCTCAGTCCTGTTGTCTTGAGTGCCCGAGGAGGACGTGTCATCCCGAGTGGCTGGTTCCCTTGCCCAAACCCTCCAGAGAAGCTGGCCTCCAGTATTTCCGCGGTGGTGTCTTCCGTGACATGTCGCCGGTTGTCCGGCTCTGAGCCATCCCCGCTCTGCCTGGCTGGTGTCTAGGGTTGGTGGTCACATCCTGCTCCCTCTGTTGTGAGTGGGGTGCTCTCTGCATCTCTGGAGGGCTTTAATTACTCCGTTAGCAGAAACTTAGAGCCGGTCCAGGCTCTCCCTCGGCCAGGGAGGAAGCCTCTTCTTTCCAGCATCTGAGCACTTGGTCTGGCTAGCAACATGGGCAGAAAGAGACTAGGAATTCCACCTCTGTCCCCTCTGTGCCCGAGTCTTAATCACTGTCCACTGTGAGCCACATGCTGGGTGGCCGTCAACGCCAAGCCCGGGACTCCAGAGCCACAGGGCCTGGTTCAGATCGCCCGAGGGCCGCCTTACCAGCGGGGCGGCGTTGGGCCCGGGGCTTAACGTCTGTGTGCCTCAGTTTTCTCATCTGTCAAATGGGACACCAGTGGTGCCCGCCCCAGGTTTAAAGGGACGATCCTGCAAAGCACCAAGGTCCAGGGCCGGCCAGCAGTGAGAGTCGTGGGCCATCCAGCAGCTGGGCGCCCTTTTTGACCCCAATTTACGTGCAAGCAACAGAGCCCTGGAAAGTTGAAGAGTTGCTCAGACTCACCCAGCCCAGGTGGGATTTGGATTTGGGGAGTCTGTGCCCCCACTAAGCCCCCTCACCTCCTCTTGCGGGGTCCTGTGGCCTGTCTCTCGCTCACCTTATTGGAACCAGTAGTGGGTTGCTGAGGGGACCTGTGAGGGTCGACGGTCACTGTGGCGGATGAGACCTGGGCCGTGTGCTGTCCCGTCAGCTGCAGGCCACTGGTCCTGGGCAGTACGCACACCCCCCACGTTTGGAAACTGGGATTTAGGGCCGGAAATTGCATGGGGCGTGGGGATGCGGTGCCATGTCCCCTGCGGAGAAGTCCTATGAGCCATGCACCAGCCACACGTGGTTTGTCCGCGGCCTGCTCTGAGCGCTAATTAGGAAGAACCCTCTGGGCCCCCAGCCACGCAGCAGCCGCGTTCTCCTTAATGGTCTGCAAATGAGTTTTCTGAAAACTAAAGTGGCAACGAGAGAAAGCCAGTCCAGTTGGTAGGTAGTGGCAGGGTGCCCTTGTGAGCGGCCCTGCAGCACCCCTTCCCTTCCTCTGCCAGCTGGCGTGCCGGGATCTTGGGGCGTCTCTGGGCCAGGGCAGCCGGAGCCCCGGGAGGGCTGTGAGCGGGCTGGGGGGCCCGGTCCGTCCTTGTAGACGTGGGGGTTTCTAAAAACGTGGGGGCTCTCCGGAGGTGCCCGCCCCGGCCCAGCCGAGGTCCCGGGGGTCCAGGGGAGGGGGGTAGGGCGGGGGTCGTGGCTGGCGTTTGCTGGGTGACACCACTCCTCTTGCCTTCCAGTTGGCCCGTCCCTACGGCCGCCCGAGAAGCTGGCTTCAGGTAGAGCCGCCTGGTGGGATGCGTGTGCAGTGGTGTTTGGGGTGGGGGCTGCTTCGAGTGCTGTGTGCCGCTCTGTCTCCTGTGGGTCCCCTCCCGTCCCTTCCTGGGAGCTGACCACCACCAGGGTGCCCTGGCCCTGCCCTCTCCGAGCGTGCAGTCGCGGGCAGCTTCGCCACATGACACCGAGTGGTCTCCGGACGCCCCTACGTTACTGCGCACCCCGGAGCCCCCACAACAGTCCCCGTGTCATCTGTCAGACCCTGCCTCCCTGTCGGGTGCACTCAGGAGCCGCTTCTGCGTGACACGGTCCCGCGGGGACCCAAGCCCTTTGGGAGCAAGAGGGAGGGGCGAGACTAACTGCCCGGAGTGAGCCCACCCGCAGCTGCTGCCCAGACAAGGAGCCCCAAGTGGGCAGGTGGGGGAGGTGGGCAGGGTCCTCCCTTGCTCTCCTGCCGTGGCCCTTTTCTGCTCCAGCACCCCTCTCACGGTGCTCCCCAGGAGTCCCCTGGCAGGCGATGGCAGGGGAGCTCACCGCAGGACCGCGGGGGTCCGGAGAGACGAGGGTCGCCTGAGTGCACGCCGGCTTCGAGCCGGGTGACGATGCAGTGCCAGCCCTGGACAGAGTCCTTAAGTGGACTTGGGGGCCCTGCCGGCTCCTGGGTCTCGCCCTCCCAGTGGGAAGGGGCAAGTCTATGTCTGCACTCAATGTTTCTTTTACTTTTAAGGATGTGGGAGTCCCGCCCACTCTGCGTGGCAGATCCTTTCTCCCTGTGTCCTAAGGGACCCAGGTTTGGGATTGCGCTCCCTGCAGATGCAGGCCCAGCCACCCCAGGATGCCCTTTCAGCTCCACTTCTCCTCCGTGATAAAACCTAGGGATTTCATTCTTCCAGGGCACCAACAGGCGAATCCCAGAATTTTTAATTTGGATTGAAGTGCAATTATGGTCCCTCATGTTGATGCATCATTAGTCACATGGCCCCTAATGAGAGATTGTACGTTTTCCCCGCCAGCTTTGTGGGTCGTTAATAAAGTTCTGTGGACGTGCAAATATTTATTGATGATCGCTGAAGGCAGGGGTAGGAATTGCACGCACTCATTTAAACCCGCCTCCCGCCCCCTTGTACACACATGTCCTCCCAAGGAAATTATCTGGCGGGGGTGGGGGGAGGAAGCAACATAAACCTGTGTATTCAGTAACAACACACATGAGTTGCTTCTGAACCCATTTGGTCCCGGGCCAGAGGAGCTGTGGAGGAGGTGAGACTCAGCCCAGAGGAGGATCTAGACGGTGTGGGCAAGGACAGGGCAGCGTCCAGCTGTTCCAGTCCCAGGGGCTGGCCGGAGAGGGCGGGGCGGTGGCTCAGATCCTTGGCCGCGTGGCCAAATGTCAGTGTGTGTGAGCTGGGCTGAGCCTTACACCTGGTCCCTTTCGCCAGCCTGGCAAGGCCGGTGGGGGATGCCCCCGCAGAATGGAGTCGGAGGGCCCGGCGAGGGCCTGATGGCACTGACTGCAGATGCTCGGTATCATTGGGTTTAGAACACACTCTCCGTTGGAGAAGTTTCTAAGTGTCACAGACGCCTGGCCAGGAAGATAATTGCCTTGGAGTGAAGCTGGGTTGACGCCCCCGCCCACCGTGGGCGAGTCAGGGAGGCACAGGTGCCCTGATGGGCGGAGGGGTCCCCCGAGGTGGGGAGTGAGGGTCGGCACTGTGGCCTCTGTGTTTTTGGTGCCTGGTGACAGGGGGGCTCCACTAGATCGGGCGTCTGCTGGGCCAGGGAGGACTAATGTGGCTCTGGTTAGCAGCTGGCCATAATCAGGGGTGTGGCAGTCACATTTTAAGGGTTCCTGGGGATACCCTGCCACACTTCAGGGGCCAGCCTGGGAAGGGGGTCCTCATTTCTGTCCCCTCTGTGCCTCTTGGTGACCTCTGTTTACACTCAGTTCCTCCCGGAGGCCATGGGAATGTCCCCCGCTCTGGCCAGGTGCCTGGATGGGGGTGGTAAGCAGGCGAGCGATTGCGTGGATCTGCTTTCTGATGTTTGCCCTGGCAGCCTGCACCGGGCACCTGCCTTCATTGTGTTTTTACTCCAGTCCCCCAGCCACTTCCAGAGTGCTGCTGTGTGTCCCCTGAGCCAGGCCCTGAGACCGAGGGGGTTGGACCCGGGTCTGATGGGGATGGGAGAGCAGAACGCAGGGAGTCGGTGAGGCTAGAGATTTGTGAGGAGTGGGGGCTGGGTCCAGCAGTTGGCAGGAGGGGAGCAGGCTGCGTGTGGGTTCCTCCGGACCAGCAGGGAGGGGGCTGGTGCGCAGGGGGAGGGACCCCCAGGTGTGGTTGCTGTGCTGTCTTGCTCACCCTGCCCCTGTCCTCCAGGCTTTGTTTGGGGACTTAGGGGACATTCTGCTGTGTTTTGTCTGCCCAACAGTGTGCCCTCAGTTCCTTTGAAGTAGAAAAGGATGTCTGGGCCAGAAACACCCCCTGGGCTCTGAGTGATGCAGAGGGCCCAAAAGGCCACGGCTCCTTCTCAGAGGGCCTGTGTTGGATTAAGCGTGACCCCTGGGTCCCCTCCCTCTGCGGATCCCAGCCCCCAGCCCCCAGCTTCTGGGGGCATTTCCTTCCTTCCTTCCTCCCTTCCTTCCTTCCTTCCTTCTTTCCTTCCCTCCGTCCCTTCTGTACCTCCCCCTCCCTCCTTCCTAAGCAGGCACTGGTTCCTGTCGACAGAGAGGGGAGAGGCGCAGGGCCCACATTTGGGAGCTCCTGTCTGATGGCAGAGGCTGAGGGCAGCCTGAGCAGCGCACAGGGTCAGGTTCACCCGTGGGAGGCGGGAGGACCCCAGGGGCTGGAGAGAGTGTTCCGCAGGCCAGGCGCGGGGACCCCAAGTGCAGGAGGCTGGAGCAGAGGAAGGAGGGAGTACCACATACTCATTTACTGCTTTATTCTGTTCAAGAAATGTCGATAAAGCGTGCACTGGGGGGCAAAATGAAGCCCCCTGGCCTCGTGGTACCAGCACGTGATGGCCTGAGGACCCATGGAGCAGGGAGAGGGGAGGGAGGGTGCAGCCCACTGCCGAGGGTGGGGGGGCAGGCAGGAGCAGCTTGCCCTGTCCTGACGGCACGGTCCTTGGCCCCCTCAGCGCAGCCGCTCACCTCTAACCTGTCCCTCCTTGCCCCCCAGCAGGCAGGCTCTGGAGAGTTCCGGACTCTGCGGAAAGGCTTCTCCCCGTACCACTCGGAGTCCCAGCTGGCGAGCCTGCCGCCCTCCTACCAGGACTCCCTGCAGAACGTAAGTGCCCCTCCCCTAGAGGTGCACTGCTCACCGGTGGACCCCGAGCCTCCAGAATCCTTGGTCGACATTCCAGTGCAGGGGTGAGGCTCAGCCCGTCTCGTGACCTGCCCGGGCCAGGGGACGGTCTGTGGCTGAGCGGGGACTGGGACCCTTGTCTCCTGCCTGAGCAGCTTCCGGGTCAGGCGAGGGTGAAGGGTCAGAGCCTGGGCTCTGCCGGAGTGGCCTTCCTCCCTCTTCCCCTCCCACCCCCGCTGCCAGGAAGGGGGCTGGGCTCCTGGCCTTAGGAGCCTTGTGCGGGCCCAGCGTGCTGATTAGAGGTGGAGGCCCACCAGAGTGACGTGGCCATGAAGGCCAGTGTCTGGAGGCCACGCGAGAGGCTGTCCCGGCCCAGCTGCCGCGCGTCTGTGAACTTGGCCACGGTGGGCGGGGAAGGATGCCCGATGGGGGCTTGGGGCCGTGCATTCACACTACCCAGGCTTTGTAACCGAGGCTCGGGGGGCAGCTTAAGTGTGGGGTCCTCCAGGGTGGTCCTGGGCTCTGGGGCTGCCCCACATGGGGAACGGAGGGGTGGTGGTGTGCGGGGCCGGCTCTCTGGGATGCGGATGGATCGCCAGGACTGCTCCCCGTGTGACATGTCCAGAACACACAGGTCCGTGGAGACGGCACGTTAGTGGCTGTAGAGGGCTGGGAAGAGGGGGGGTGGGGATGGCTAATGGGACTGGGGTTTCTTTTTGGGGTGATGAAATGTTCCATTGTGATGATCGTGCAAAACCACTGCCCGCCAAACGCTTTCCCGCATGAGCTGCGGATGATGGTGACCAGAGCTGTCAGCTTTGGTTGAACGCTCTGGGCAGCCAGCTGGGACAAGCCCCACGAGCAAGACAGGGACCCTGGCCATCCCCAGGGCACGAGGGAGGAGCCGCCGGGCCGGCCTGAGGTCACTCTGCCAGGTGGGCATGTGGCCTGCCCCACCCCCCGCCCCGGGGTCCTGGCACTGCTGTCTCTCCACGGCCCCGGTCAGCAAGGACGACCCCGGGGTGCCCCTGCAAAGCCTCGGGGGCCTCGGGGCTGGCGGCAGAGGCTGGGGCCACGGCTGGCTGCCGGCCAAGTGCTCTGTTGCTTCCCTTTTGAGGCCCTCACACCTCCAGGGATGCAGCTGCTGAGGCTGAGCGGGCGGATCACCCAGATATTCCTCCGGGAGCCTGTGGCCGAGTTAGGCTCCCCGTGCCGCATGCCGAAGGGCCCCGAGAAGCCCGGGGTGCCGCGGTGGGGCTTGGCTCCCCCGTCCTCCAGTCCGGCCGGCCGCGCGGTTCATTCTGTGGGAACCCCGATGGCCAGTGGCTGTGGGGTCGGGCTGTGAAGGGTAGTGCATGTGTGGCCCTAGAGGCCAGGGTCAGGGTGAAGCGACTCCGAAGCTGGGGGGCAGGTCCCTGGGGTGCACAGAGAGGGTTGGGGGTCCTCTGGGAGATACAGCCACGGAGGCTGCTGAGGCAGCAGTGGAGGGCCCGGGGCTGAGGTGGAGGCCCAGAGGTTCCCTCGCTACCTCTGTCCCTGTCCACTTTCCCCACTCCCTGCCCACTTGGGTCAGAGGCTGAGTGTCTGCCCAGGGCCCCCCAGCTTCTCCCCTATGAGGGTCACCGGCCCGGGGGCCGTGGGGCAGGGTGCAGGGGGCCCTGGCCGGCCCTGGGACTCAGGACCCCGTGGAAGGAGCTGGTTGTGGAGGACCTGTTGACAGGTCCCTGGGGGAGACTGGCCTTCCTGCCCTTTTTTTTTTTTGGTCAGTTGACTTTATTTTTGAGCACACACTTCACTGGTTTTTAGCCTATTTACAGATCGGTGTAGTTATCAAGATAGAACATCTCCTTACCCCACAGAGGAGCTCCGCCCCCTTTAGCAGCCCCTGCCCACTCTCCCCTGCCTCGGCCCGGCGACCGCGGATGCGCTCGTGCCTCTGCAGATTTGCCTATTCTGGACTTTTCTTAGCAACAGACCCCTGTAACAGGCGACCCGCTGTGACCGGCCGCTTCCGCGGAGCGCCGTGTTTCTGAGGCTCGTGCCTCTGTGCCGTCGGGCGATGTTCCGGGGGCGGAAGCTCTGCTCAGCAGAGGCTGGACATCTGGGCTGTGTCTGCCCTTCGCCCGTCATGGGGAGCGCTGCTGTGAACATTGGACAAGTGGACGTGTGGACGTGTGGCTTCAGTTCTCTTGGGGACACACTGGTCTCCCCACTTTGGGCACCAGCTCTGGAACCCCAGACCCGGCTTGAGCCCCATTGTTCACCAGCGGTTTGGCCGTGGCCTTGTGTCAGACCCACTGTCCCTGTCCTCGCCTGTCACATGGGGGTGCAGAAAGATGGCATCAGGGTTGCAAGCACTCAGCGGGCTGCTTGCCCTGGGGGTGAGGGTGGGGGGGGTGCCGAGGAAGCGGGAGGTGTCGCCCGAGGGGTCTTCGGGGGGAGCTGTGCGTGGGGAGTGCCCCACAAGTACCAGCCCTCTGGCCCGCGGGGGCTTTGTTGGCAGCCTGGTGAGGGGGTCCGGAAAAGGCTGTCCCGGCCACTCCTGGCTTCCTTCCTGCCTTTGCTCCAGGGTGCAGCCCCCTGGCCCCTTACAGATGGGACAGGAGGCTGGAGGTGCCAGGGGCCAGGCATCTGGGGCCTCCCACGCCGCACACGTGTGGCTGTCGCCCCCTGCTGGCTGATGGTGGAGGGAGCGCAGCCTTCGGCCTCAGGCGGATGGGTGTGTGTGTGTGTGTTTTCTCTGCCTTCCACCTGCCTCCCCCGAACCCCTCTGGGACACAAGAACCCTTTCCATCGTCCAGACGAGGAAACCGAGGCACAGAGTGGGTTGGGCCCTTCTTCAGGTCACAGCCTGCAGAGCCTTGCCCAAGTCCAGCTTTCCCGGCCTGCAAGGCTATGGGGCCCATCCTCTATGTGGAGCCCGGAGAAGGTCCAGAAGGGTGGGCGGATGGGGAGGGTGCAGAGGAGCTAGCCCACGGCAGAAAGTTCTGGGCCCTGAGGGTCTCCACACAGCGTGGCCTGGCTGGGCAGGCCCCCAGGGCGATGGCCGCATAAACCAGCTCACCAAGTCTGCCTGGTCACTGGGGTTCAGTGACTGAGAAAGAAACCAAGACTCAGAGAAGGGACGGATGTGCTGGGAACCCCGGCTCCCGGGCCGCCTCCCTTCCTGCTTGCACACATGCTGGCCGGGGTGCTTGGCGTTTTCTGTCTGGCCTCCCGCACTTGCTGGCTCCCGTTAGACCCACTCCCAGTGTCCTCTGACCTCCTGGCTTCTGTTGGCCCTGGGGAGCGCCATCCTCCAGTCCTTGTCTGGGCACTCCTTTTATGGGACCCTAAGCTGGGGTCCCCCTGCAGCCCGAGGCACACCACCTGGGCCAGGAATCCTTGTGGAAAAGCGCTGGGGACCCTGGGCAGACACGCCACCTCTGACATAGGTGGGCCCAACGCCAGAAGTCCTGATGCCCTCCTCACCTGGCCTTGTCCCCTGCTCCACGGGCTGTGGGGAGGTGGATGCCTGGTTGCCATTTAAAGTGTTCGCTGAGTGGCATCTGGGTGGCTCAGTCAGTTAAGCGTCTGCCTTCGGCTCAGGTCATGATCTCGGGGTCCTGGGATCGAGCCCCGCATTGGGCTCCCTGCTCAGCCAGGAGCTTCTCCTTTTCCTTTTGTCACTCTCCTCCCCCCATTCCCCACTTGTGCTCTCTGCTCTCTGCTCTCTCTCTCAAATAAATAAATATAATCTGTATTTTATTTTAGTTATATTTAGTTTTGGAAGGTGCAGAATTTGGTGGCATCCATCAGGTGCCAGACCGCCTGGAAGCTCAGGGCAGGGAGGCGGGGCTCCGGGCTAGAGGGGTGTCCCTGCGGATGGGGGTGGGGGTGAGGGTGAAGTCTAGTTTAACCCGCTCACCTGGCGTCGGGGGAAGGGTGGCAGTTTTGGAGGCAGGCCCCCTGAGGCTTGCTGGGGGATCTTTGGCAGCTCCTGCCCTTCTGTGAGCTGCACTCACTTCCTCTGGGCAGCAGATCACAGACCCTGGCCCTGGGCTGTGGAGAGGAGCCTGCGGGGTGGGGTGCGGTTCTGAGGGCGGCCGCCCTGTCCTCTGCCCTGGCCCCGGCCTCACACCCTGCCTCCTCTCCGCGTCACTCAGCACCCCTGTCCGCCTGCGTGGGCCCAGGGACCTCTTCCTGCTGCTGGTCGCACCTCTGGCCACCACCCGGGAGCCATTCGGGACCAGCTAAACGCGATTCCTTCCCCCAGGGCCCAGCTTGCCTGGTACCGGAGCTGTCCTCGCCCCCCTCCGCCGGCTACAGCTCTGCGGGACAGAAGCCAGAGGCTGTTGTGCATGCCATGAAGGTGAGGGCCACAGCCCGCTCCCCCGGGGGGCCCCCAGGTCCCTGGTGCAGTGCGGGACGCGGAAGGACCCCACATTTGCTCGGAGTCCGTGGGTGTCTGAGCAGCAGGGTGCGAGGGGAGCGGCCTGGACGCCTGGAACACCTCGGGGAGGGAGGTGGAGGTGTGGGTTAGCAGGACCGAGTGGGCCACACGTTGTCACCTGTCTGCCGTCCCAGTAACGGGAAGCTGATACCTGGGCCAGGAAGGGGGCGGGTGGGCACTCCCTCCAAGTCGGAGAGGTGGGGGCAGGGCTGGGGTAGGACTCGGGCTCCGGCCTCCCAGGCCCAGCCTCGCCTGCAGGTGCAGCTCCGGGGTGGGGGGGGCTGGCTCCCCGGCCCACGCCTGCCATGGCTGCGCCCCTCACCCCTCGTGTGCGTAGACGCAAGCCGGTGCGGGCAGCGACCCCACGTGTGCAAGTGGGTGCTGTCCTAGTGTCACTTCATCCAAGCCAGGGGCCCTGGGTTGCAGTGAGTGCACCTGTCCCAGGGTAGTCCCCCCGCCAACCTGTCGTCCCTGCTTCCAGGTGACCTGTCCTCAGCTTTGCCCCCAGCGGTGATGTGGGGGTGTGGCTTCCCTTGCGGAGGGTCGCTGGGGTGAGGGAAGAGGACCGGCCCGTCGGGTGTCTCCATGCCCCCCGACCCTGGCTGGGACCCAGAGGCTCAGGGTCCTTGGCTCCCGTGTGCAGCCTCCCCGCTGACCCTGTGGCCGCTTCCGCGCAGGTCTTGGAGGTGCACGAGAACTTGGACCGGCAGCTCCAGGACAGCTGTGAGGAGGACCTGAGTGAGAAGGAGAAGGCCATCGTCCGCGAGATGTGCAACGTGAGGCTCTTCCCGGGGCCGGGGCCCGTCGGTGAGGGCAGGGCGGGTCCCCGTGTGGGCAGCGCCGCGGACCTGGAGGCCCGGCCTGTCCTCACCCCACAGCCTGTCCCACTTGTCCCCGAGAGGGGGGCCCTGACCTCTGCAGGCCTGTCCGTCCCCGGAGCACCGCCCCCAGCCCCCTGGGACGGGTCCCGTTCAGCCCACATATCCCACCCCTTGGCCCCGGGTGGCTGCGGGTCACACAGGTGGCGGTCAGACCAGAGGTGCAGGTGAGCCCCTACAAGGCTGGGGCTGCATTTGCTTCTGGAAGCCGGGCTATTTCTGTGGCCGCCCAGGCCGGGGGGGGCCTCACCCCCGACCCGCCTGGCCGGTGTGTGTCCTCTCTGGACCCTTGTGGGAGCCAGCAGGGGGCTGCACTGGGCCTCACCGGGGGCCCGGTGTCCTGAGCCCCCCCCGCCTCCTAGGCTGCCTCCTGCCTCGACCCCACGTGGCCTCAGTTTCCCCTCCCGGCCCCATGGCTCTGGGGACGTGGGTGATTTTGAGGGGCCCGAGGCAGTGTGGGTGCCCGGGGCCGGCGGGCGGGCTCGGGTGGGCCCTGCACTCACAGCTCGCCCCCGCCCACAGGTGGTCTGGCGAAAACTGGGAGACGCGGCCAGCTCCAAGCCCTCTATCCGGCAGCACCTGTCTGGGAACCAGTTCAAGGGGCCTTTGTAGGGCCGCGCCTCCGTGGACGTGGACTGGCCCCGCGGGGCGCCCAGGACGAGTCGCAGCCACCGCGTTCGTTTCCTGTGGTGAATTGTACATAGGCCGCCGCCCGCCGTGGCCCGGGCACCCTCCGTCTCCCTCCTCACACACCAGCACACGGAAGACGAGAGGCTGCCGGCCGGGCCCCGCGGCGGAGCGGCCCCGACAGCCTCGTTCCTGCTCTGGGGCCCCCCTGCCGAGAGGCCGAAGGCCGCTCTGGGACGCCGGGTCCCGGGTCACCCCAGGCTGGGCCCGGCCTTGGCGGAGGGGAGCCTCCCACCCCCTGGCTGCCACCCGCGCTGGGCAGAGGCCACTGGCAGCGAGACCTGACGCAGGGGGCACCGCTTCTCACCCCTCCGCTGTGGCCTGAACACCAGCTCACCGAGCACTGCGTCCCAAGTCGCGGACAGGGAAGCTTGGTGTGTGTGGCCGGCTGGAGGCCCCGAGGCCCTTCCTTTGGCAACCCCCCTTCCGCACCCCCATGCCCAGCTCCCTGCTGCAAGCTGCTGCTTGGTTTCAGGCTTCTTGCCCCCAGCCCCAAACACACACACTCGCTGCAGAGTCCCCCCACCCCGGGCCAAGTCGTGCCCTAGGTTTTCGGGTCCCTCCTGCCCAGTGCCCGAGGCCTCTCCATTTCTGTGGTTCCCATGACGGGCCAGGGAGGTAGGAGGCTGAGCCCCACGCTCTCTCTCTCTCTAGGTGGGCAGCACCGGGCTGAGCTGGGCCTCTGGTAGCCCCCAGAGCCCGGCCCTAGCCGGGGTCGCTGTGGACAGAGCTGCACGGACTGGCCCTTAGGAGACTTCTGCCCTCTCTGGAAGGAGCCTGATCTGGCTCTGGCTTTAATTGGCTGTGTGACCTTCAGCAAGTCACTCGGCTTCTCTGGGCCCCTGGTGGGAAAACGAGGTCTCAGGTTCTCTGGGCCGTGCTCACCACCCGAGGCCACCGGCTTTGTTCAGCCTGGGCCTCCGTCACGGCCTGCGCGCCCAGGTGGTCCATCCAGCCAGAGGCCGCTGCTGGCGGGGCTGGATGGAGCCGGGGACTGAGTGGGCTTCCACTTCTTGCTGCCTCCTCAAAGGTGCTGTCACCTCCCCTCTCTGAGCCTCAGTGTCCTCCTGGAGAAGGGACGGCCTCAGGCCCTCCTCGCAGGGCTCGGGATCAAACGAGACCTTCAGTGTAAATGACCATGTACAAACTATAGGGTGTGATAGAGAAACGTTGAAATGGTGGGGAAGGTGAGGCCCAGAGGGTGGGTGATCGGGGGCACATTACAGACGAGCTCCCGGATGCTGGGAGGTGGGCGGGCCACCGTGAATGCTGTTGGCACTGGCCCTGACGGCCACTCGGTCCCTCCCTCCTCCTCCACTGTCCGGTGGTGCTCAGCTCCGTGCCGCAAGCACTTGAAGAGCCCAGAAGATGGCTTTTGCAGCAGGCAGGCCTCGTCCAGGCCCGCATGACAGACGGGGGCCAGGCGAGGGGATGGGGGAGGCCACCCTGTTCCTAGAGCCCCAGCGGGAACTCTGCGCCCTTCCCGCCATCTGTCGGCCATCGGCGCCCTTGGGTCGGTCGTACACTCTCAGGGGAAAGGCTCGCAGCCCTCATTGTGCCCAGGGAGTGCTAAGTGGGTGCTGGTGACGGCGACAGGCATGTTCCTCTTGCCCTGGGTGTTACAGGGAGCCCTGGGCTCTTCCTGGAGGGAGCTTGCCAGCAGGTCAGGTGGTGAGCTACCGGTCACTAGGGGTATGCATTTGAAGCTGGGGAACACCCTTGGTCATGGTACCAGGCAATTCTTGCCCTAGTGGGCAGTGAGCTGGGGGGCAGAGGCCCCCCTCTGGATCTTGGGAGTCCAAAGAACCACAGAGCAGCCCGGGGGGGCGGGGGATGGGTCCATTTTGGGTGGAAGCCACACCTGGGAGCCCAGTTGTCATGTCTGGATCAGGTTGGCTTGGCCACCACTGAAAATAAGCAATAAGTAAGGGCTCCTGGTATCTGCGGATCTGCAAGCTGACCCAGGGAAGAACAGCTTTGACGGGACCGTCCCCGCTCCGCAAGGAAGTGACCCTGTCCCTCATGCTGTGGTGGCGTTCAGGGGTCAGGTGGAGCGTTTCTGCCTGGACCCTCCTGTGCCCCATGGAGGCAGCAGAACCAGGCGCAGACCGACCGCTGCTCGTGTTCCTGAGCCAAGTGCATGGGGATGGCTTTCAAGGACAGAACTGTACCTGTGACAGCCCTCTAACGTAATAAGCTGTTAAAAAAAAAAAAAACAGAGCCAGCAGCACCCCTGCCTGACCCCACGGGGCAGGGGGTGGGTGGGTGCAGTGGGAGCCCACAGGCTGGGAAGGGTCAGAGGAGCCTCACGACAGGGGCAGCCAGGGGCCAGGTGAGCACGAGTCCCAGCCCTGCCAGCAACACGGACGTGCGTCTGGTGACGTCAGTGACGTCGGGTGGCCCTCCTCCCCTCCGGAGCCTTAGCTGTAGAAGCTCATGGTGGGGGGAGGGGTGTTGCTGAACTTGGTGCCCTTTCATAAAGGTCCCTTTACGTTTCAGATACTCTGATTCTAGATCTTGAAGCCCCGTGTGACACCTGGACTGGGGCTTCAGTTCCCACTGTGATGGATGTCACCCTTCCAGCCTCACGCCAGGTGGCCAAGCCCATCCTGGGATCAGAATCTGCTGAGCACATTTTTTTAGGGTGGCACATTTTTATCCAAAAGTTACTAGCTACACATCAGTGTTTAAAGAGAAAAAAGTGACCTTTCATTTTTTTTTTCTTGGAAACTTGAGAGGAAACAAAATACATACTACTGATTTTTTTTTTTTTTTTTTTTAAGAAACAAGCTAAATGCATGACTGCAGAGCGGTAGAGGTGTATATTTTTCATACTGTAGGGGGGAGTATTTGTGCTGCTTTCTGGACTTGGGCTGGAACATTCGGTTCCCGGCCCCGGGCCGTCAGCCATGCTGTTTTCCATGGTGGGTGACTGCCATGGGAACCGGGGCCAGCCCCTCGCCCGGCTCCAGGAGGAGCTGGGAGCTGTGGACCCCGTGCCCGTTTCTACCTTCCACTGAACCACTTTGATTTGGGGAGAGAAAAAGAGATAGAACTTTTGATAGTGTGGTAAAAAACATTGATTTGAACTATTTTAGTAAAAGGAGGAACAGAAGATTGTGATCGTGTATACTTTGCGCTAGATAAATAAAGGCTCTTGGCAAGCCTCCGTGGTGGGTGCGCAGTGCTTGTTTCCGGGGGGGTCCACCGGGCAGAGGGCCACGGCCCCTGGGAGCACCTCAGGTGGGGGGTTCGGCTCGGTGCTGGAGACCACAGACGGCTGCTCCCTTGTGGGTCCTAGGAGCCCATGTTCTGCGCAGGCGCCTCCGACACTTCCACGCTGGTTCGGAACGCACCGGGTTCCTCCGAGGGGAGCCCATGCAGGCACAGGGTGTGGGGGGCTGGCCCGCGAGGACAGACCCAAAAGGGCGCTACCTTGGGGGACGTGGGGTCAGGCCTGGGGCTTGCGAGGCCAGCGTCCCTCTGGACTTCACATCCTGGGGCTGCTTACGGTCTGGGGCCCCACCTTGTGCAGAAGAAACAAAAGGATCATTTCAGAACGGGTTTTATTTGGATAAATGACCGAAGGAGCCGTATCTGTAACCAAGATGGAATTCACAGTATGTTGTTACATTCACACTTAAAAAATATATTTCTATGTACAGGAATTTGCAAATTGATGTAAACATACATTACTTTCCAAATACATTTCTCCCCTTCTCTCTGGAGGAAAAAGAACAAAGCCATCCAACAAGGCAACCCCTTCAAAATAAGTTTAATACAAAGGATGTAAATATCTCCAAATCAAAAAAGTGGTTCGTCTGACCTACTGGGTGTTGGGAGGGAACGTCACGGAATGAAAGCGATGACAACAGCTTGACTTCAGATGGAACTGGACTATTTAAAATGGATTTTCCAGGAAAAATAGGCACTGATTTCTAGAAGGAAATTCACTCCTTACTGAAGCTATTTCTTGAGCCAATATGGCTGGTTAACGTTTTCACGAGTACAAATAACCCAGTGCAGGACCCCCCGACGCCACCAGCTGAGACCAAGCGCGCGGTCGGATCGAAACTGGCGCTGCGCAGGCTTATACTGAAAGCCCCTGGCCCCATTCTCCAGATTGGAGGACCACCCCAACTTCAACTCGGGTCCGGGCCGTTTCTTCCCGTACTGCAACTGTCTAGCATTATAGAAGGTACCCTGCCGCTTACCCACTTAAACTACTCTTCAAGTTGATTAGAAAAACTTGTTAAAAAAAACAAAGGGGAAAAAAGGCATCACGTTATCTCATCCAGGCTGCCCGCCCCAGCCCCCCAACTGGAGGCATGCCA